CTGAGAAATAGAAGAATTAGTGCCAGTTTGAGAGCCCCAGTTTGTACGTGGGCTGGACGCTTCACACAATTCAACTATTCAAAGCTGGCAAAAAAGCCCAATTCACACAATTCAACTTTTCATTCAACCTTTGAATGCAATTTGTCGTGGTGAAAAGTTGGATAGTGTGATACTGACGCGAGAAAACGACAATTTGATGAAAAATTGAACAGATGTGACGTCGTATTCAACTTTACTAATTTGATGGAATCCCTAGTAGCAATGGCTCTTAAAAAAAGTTGTCGTCAAAAAAAGTCACATCAAGTAAACAAATTCTTAAAATACTCGTTTTAGGAAACTCTTTTAGGGAATTCTTTTAAGTAAAAAATAGTGTTATTTTAATTAGAAGAAAACGTAAAATTTACGTGAAAATCAATAAACTATATCTTCAATTTTTATGGGCTGTTTATTAATTATTAAGTTTGATACAGAACCACCCTAATATTTACAAAACACACATTATATTTTCCTTTAATACATATTTTTTTCCATCAATTAAAAAGAGAATAATCCATACAGGATGTGCAAAAATTTCAAAATCATGAGTTGAATAACGCTGACTCCGCCAGATTAAATATTAGAGCTTAACACCAAGCGGAGCGGCGACGCACTGGCGCCTACAAACCTAACAGGGATACTTCACGCATTGCGCAACGAAGTATCCCTGTTAGGTTTGTAGGCGCCAATGCGTGTTACGCGCTGGCTGCCCGCCTGCCACGGCGCTTGAAGGAACTATTTCACACCAGAGGTATCGCACAGTATCATACGAAACTGAAGGCGCTCTAATATATTAGTAATGGCAGCCATCCATCAAAAGTACGGAGCTTTCCTCGCAAAATAAATCAAGATACTACGGCCCAAAAAGAGAGCAGTATTCCAAAAACTCACCAAGTCCTAGCATCCGTGATTAGTAACGGATAGCATACACTTTATCGTCAGGCTGTTGGTCGCCATTGGCTATAAAAGGCTTTAAGAAATTGTGCTGCCGGCTATAGAAGCTATTGGAAATCTTACAGTCGGCTGTAGGTCCATGGTATTTTGGAACACAGATTCTACTGCCAATTTGTACCAGGGTAATTTATTCTTTGAATCGACGAAAGGACATAGTCTGAATGCCGCACGAAGCACAGGTAGTTCTGCTGGTGTGCTATGAACGTATGAAGCCTCTCTCCAAAAGGAGGAGCAAAAAATCAATTTTCCGTAGAATTCCTCCTACTTTAATAATAACAATTGCCTATGAGTGTGTATGTATTTAGCTCAGTACATATCTGCCGATGAAAGACTGCTCAAATCCAAAGTTTACAAGAGGTCAAACGCACAACGAGAGGAAGGTCGCAGCTGTCAGCGCGGGGTACATTTTTGAGATGAACATTTTTTGGAACGCAATGTAAATTACAGTAGACTCTTGATTATCCGGATTAATTGGTGCCGGGTCCGATCCGGATGAAAAAGAAATCCGGATAATAATAGTAAACACAAACACCACCAACCAACACCACAGTATTCTTATTATGTATACATCATGTACATCAGCACGAATTTAAAAGGTTAACGCCAAACTGAACGACTCAATGGTGATTGTGAATGGTAGCAGACAACGATAAATTACCATACAACGATTAAAGCGCGCAATTCGTGAAGTATTCATGCAGTCTTGCAGCCGCTTATGTGCGTTTTAGGCTAACTAACCGACTGCGCTGCGTTTGGCGTAATGCGAGAAGTATTTATGCAATCTAGTAGGCGCTAATGCGTTCCACGCCGACCTCACTGTTTGGCGCAATGCATGAAGTATTCCTTCAGCCTTGCAGGCGCCAATATGCCTTGCGACCGCTTCTCCGCGGATCCGCTCACTTATCGGAATGCGTACGTAGTTACATGGTTGCAAAATCGATCCGGATAATCCAGAGTCCGGATAATACGAAGCCGGATAATCCAGAGTCTACTGTAGATCGTTATAAAACCAGTTTTTTTTTCTTTTTTTTTTTTCCTATAAAACACTGTCATTAGTGTAGACTCAATGCTATCCATCCATCAAAGGAAGGAATTCGGGCGGTATACGCAATCTCAATTATGTTCAGGAGGCGGANGGGGGGGGGGGGGGGGGGGGGGGGTGTAAAACGCCTGAATCAACTTGCTCCTATATTTGCAAAGCTAAATACCTATTGAGTAGAAGGCAGAATAGTCTATACGGTGAGGAAAGGTAAAATTGAAAATATGAATTATTTAGGAAAATCAAAACTAAAAATAAAATAAATGACAACAAAAAATTAAACAGAAATAAAATAAAGTAAAACGATAAGAAATGAAAAAATGAAAAACACGAAAAAATAATAAAAAATATATGAATAATTGTCCGCGTTTATTTATTTTCATAATTTTCTCTGGGGCTCTTAGAGTAATGGGCTGACCCCCCGCCCGCCCCTTTTGTCTCGCCCACGAATATTCACAATTTCACGACCAAAACGCGCACAGGGTCATATCAAAGCGGTCAAAAATTAAAATGACGCGCGAAGCTATTAAGTGGTTGCCTAGTGTATTTTCGGTTTACGTCAGTTCATTGCTACAAAGAACTTGGCACCTCGTCGACAGTTGGCATCTTGGAGCAGTCTTCCTCGACAAAATGGCGTCACCACCATCTGTCTGACTCGCGTAACTTGTGTGATTATTCCTTTTATCAGTGAATTAGTTATTTGATTATCATGAAAAGGATATCCGAATTGTAACAAGTAAGTGTCAGCTGTTGTTGAAGATCTCCGATCCAACTCATCCCGTGTTTTCACGGTTGCCCTCTTCCTTGAAACTTGATACCCTTCAGCTTTCGCTCCTCGATCCCGGATTTCCCTAATATTTTTCTTTTCGTCTCCCACAATCAGCATTGCGTAACTCGGCTGTCTGAATTAGATTTTCCTCCAAATTTCCTCGCTCTGATTCAACTTATTGTCGAGTTTGAGACTTCTCGCGATCTAATCAGTGCATCGAGCCACTATCAGTGCGCATTCAATGCATTTCGTCTCCATTCATTTCAGTAGGTTGCTGCAGTATGTAGTAAGCACGAAGGGATGAGGGTGGTTTGTTATCGACCGTTTTCTTGCAAGGGGCGTGGTATGACGACCTTGCTACTTATCGGGAAAATTATTTTCGGGATTGTTAGCTTAACAAGCTCATCTAGCTGACTTTCATTTTCGTTTTTTATTTCGACCATTTGCCCTTATTTTATGACCGTCTTCTGATAATGTGCTATTTAAAAATTGTGCCATGATAGTGCACTCAATCTGTGCGTGTGTGTGTGAGTGCCCTGTCAGCTGATTGATAAATAAGGTTTGGAGATTGGCTTTTTCACTGATTAGACGATTTTCTGTCATCTGCATTAGAGGATGATTGATTTTGCCACATTCTCATTTCTCTCAAGTTCCGCTGAACTCTGTCATTGAGATGTTATTGTATTCCTACTCGTAAGTTTGAAGTGCCCCTTACCTCTACTTCAGTTGGAGTGTTAGGTTCCTCGGAAATTTTCATGTTGGTAAGTTTTTCATCATGTAGGATTGTTACGTTGAATTTTGTCTTCTCTGATGTGGCATTTTTGTATGTGTCTCCGTTATCTGTTTGAGAGCACTAATCACTTCTTTCGTCGATGGCCTTGGAATTATAGTAGCTCATGATCAATATTCAAGGCTAATGAGCCCCTCATTTTTTTCTCAGTTCCTCACAACCTCCTCCTTTTTGATCCATGTAATAATTTTGTAATCTCTGATTTTATCAATATTCTGCATTTAAGAGCTTCTTATCATGTGGGAGATCTAATTCCACCAGTTTTCTTACTCATGTAGTCACTTTTCTCACTTCCTAATAGTAGGCTGCAGAAAGTTACGTATCCACTGGTCTTGCGAGAACTAGTCTCTTGATGATTGCAACGAGCCTTGCTCTTAAAATTTTAGGAGAAGGGCATGTTTGGCTTGAGCTCTTTTAATTGACCCTGACAAAAAAATCGAGGGCATAAGAATCACACTTTTAGAGCTGAATTGAAGACTCGAAATCAGAATTAAGTACTTATCCTCAGGGATGATTTAGAGCAATGCCTCCTGTAGTTAGTCCACAGGGATTTATTCTTAAACTGTGAAAAATCTTTGACTTGATCAAAGACTTCTACACTGAATATTGGAGTACTGGTAACTTTTTACCTAGTCTCTCCTCTATTGTTCTAACTCTGTTAACATCACCTTGAGGTAACCGTAAATTTCTGTCACGGTCATCTGTTTCAAATCTTTATCACATTTGTCGGCCTCCTGTGGTGTAGTTGTTATAGCGCTAGCTCTGTGATCAGGAGGTTCCGGGTTCGATTCCCGGCCAGGCAACCCGAGTTTGATGATCTCAAATAATGGTTGCCTGGGACTGGTTGTTATAGGGACAGAGGGGGGACAGGACTATAAGCGCAGGATTAGCCCTTGTGGGCTACTTGAAGTAGTAAAAAAAAAAAAAAAAATTTATCTCTGTGATTACGTTGACCTTACTTACAGCGATTTCATTTTTACTGAAAACTTGTGAAGTTATGGAGGGATGAGGCCTTACTCAATTCATACAATTTACTTGTCCGAAACATGGTTAATATAGACCATAAGTGATAGCTATTTTTACTAATATTGTCTTATTCCACAGTGTATCTTCAGTCTGATATCTTAGTATGTATCATACACCAATAGAGTTCATGAAAAGCTATAAGCTGATCCTCTTTCAGACTGCCACAGAAGATTTTGCTGTCCTAATTTTAGCATTGAAAGTACAAACAAAAGTCAAGATAGTAGCTCTTCTGTGTTACTTCATAAATTAGGTAGACTTATTTTACATGGACTCTCTGTAGGCACTTTTTTTTAAATAACTGTACCCATATCAAATACTGTGCATGAAACAACCTACAGGAAATATGAAGACTTTTTTTAATCAATTGTTTTTCTCTTTGTCCTCAGGAATATTGGTCATGATGGACCAACGCTCTATCAAAATTACGAGAACGTAGGGGATGAAACAACAGACACAGACAAAAATATAACTATGACCAGTGAAGACTTACTACAACCTGGACATGTTGTCAAAGAACGGTGGAAAGTGGTAATTATCTTTGTATTTGCTTCCTGCAAATAAGTTTTCAATAATAACTTTTCACTCAATCAAAATTGTTTTACTGACTGGAGAAGCTTTTCTACAGAAATAGAAAAATTTGACCTGTAGATCCTCAGCTTTTTGTGCAATGCTGTATTTTGAAGTGAAATATTTAAACAAGAATTTCTCAACACCATAAATGTATGGGAGCAAAGTTGAATGCTACCACGTGTAACTAAAGTATTTCAGATGAAGTTCTGTTGTTTTTCGCGGTTAGTAAACTTTCAACCTTCCAAATTTTTACTTGTTAACACCAATATCATTCCTCTTTAAAAGCTTGTAGTTCACATTACCTGCGAGTAGGAGCTTGATTACCCATGCACTTCAAAGGCATTGCACAAAGTCATCAAAATTATGTCTATCATTCCAGCTAGCTTGGCATATTTAAATCGATGTATGCGAAAACGTCCGATGTCCAAGACAGTGTTTCAGATTTTGAGTGGACAATTTCGTTGTAACCTAACGACATAAGATGGTTCAAGAGTTAGGAATGTAGAAAAATTTTATAAATAATCCCCTAAGTGTAATTGAACGTTTACAAAAGAGATCGATCCCATTCATCAGTGTTGTGGGTCAAAAGAAACCCTGTATTGGACAACGGACGTTTTCGCATACGTCAATTCATTTTTTTTTAATATGGGCTTCAACCTTTTGAATCTTTTACAGGCTCCTACTAGATGAATCAATTTTAATAGTAATTTATGCATTGTAGTATTTTTTTGTTAATACATATTTGTTGTTTTAGGTCCGAAAAATTGGCGGAGGGGGTTTTGGAGAAATCTACGAAGGTCAAGATTTGGTATCCAAGGAGCAGGTAGCACTGAAAGTGGAATCTGCTCGTCAACCAAAGCAGGTTCTCAAAATGGAAGTTGCTGTCCTCAAAAAATTGCAAGGTATGTATCTAGCATGAAAGTTTCAATTTTTAGTTGTTATTTTATGTTTGATGGCCAAGTGATCCTCAAAGTTTCAGGGAATGAGATCTGCCTCTAAGTTGCGCTGCTACACGGTTTCGTTCCTAACTCATATATGCCCAAAACTATTTTTTTTAATTGATTTTTTATTTACTCATTGATTTTGACGTTATGTAGACAGGGTAAAGACATGTTGAGGCACAACAAAAATAAAATAGGCTTGCCTATATCCCAGTCATGGATTTTCCTGTGTTGAACACATGAAATTCCCTGATTTACACTAACACTCAAAGTTAAAAACTGTGATGGGTCGATAACGACCCAATGGGCATTTATGGGCGAAGCAATAATTCAAGTTCAGCGAACATTGTATTAAACAATATGTCTAAAAGGTAGTAGTACTGAATATACCGGTATGTGAAGTGTAGCCAAATTCTAGAAATAATGTAACATTTTTTTAAAAAACTTACATTTTATTGATTCATATAAAATTTGACCAAAGCGTTTCGAAGCAAGCGCTTCATCGTCAGGGTCACAAAGTATAAATCACAAAGGCCATAACTTAATTTCAGACTGTGGTAAGAATTGATAACAAATTAACGGATCATAAAACTCTCAATAATCAAAACACTTAAATCCATGCATAGTACTCAGTTCTCATCAAAGATGGCAGCTCATTTTATGTAGAAAATCTTTGGTCAAATTTTATATGTATCAACAAAATGTAAGTTTTTTCAAAAAATATTACATTATTTCTAGCACTTGGCTACACTCCACAGACTGAAGCAATAATTATGGCAATGCACAAGTAAATGCAAGAAAATTATCCACGATGTGTACCTAGCAGCATCAATACTGAGTAGCTTAACATCAAATTTGTAAGGATTTATTGAAAATCTATTGAAAACTTCCGTAACAGACATTAATCATTGAAGCCATCTCTCTCTTACATATTGAGTCAATGAGCAATGACCGGCAACGGTAGTATCTGATACATATTTTTCAATGAAGCCTCTCAAATATGATGTCTTACTACTCATTATAATGCTGCCACACATTATTAGTTAGTCTCTTGAATTAGTTTGGATGTACGATAATTACGTTTTTTCAAAGACACATACCCTGTGGCAGCGCAACATTGTACCAGATTTTGTTCCTAGCTCACTCAGAATCACTTTAAGTAATTGAATCATGGAAACTAGAGAGTGTGTGAGCTGGCAAAACAGTGAAGATTTGATCTGAACTTCAAAGATGAAGTCTTTCTGCATTGACAAAAACCAGGATGAGTTTTTTTTTTTTTTTTTTTTTTTTTTTTAGAAAAAAAAAACCCCTTCTTTTCTAATCAAATATTTTTCTTTATCAAGAGCAGGTAACTTAAGGTTTTATCTTTTTTAAGTACTGCTCAAAACCCTAGAAAGTCTGTATTGTTTCTAATTACACACTTGACAGCTAACTTTGAAAGTTGACCTCCATAACTTAAGGTTTTATCTTTTTTAAGTACTGCTCAAAACCTTAGAAAGTCTGTATCGTTTCTAATTATACACTTAACAGCTAACTTTGAAAGTTGACCTCCATGTCAAAAGTTTTGTCTTTTCTCGGGTCACATCAAAGGATTTCTTATCAATGATCTTTTAGTTTTATTGTCAGTTCTAAACAAAACGAGACTAATTAGTTTTGATAACTAAGTAGGGATAGTCTATAAAATCTTAAATTATTATTTGACTAAAATTTCTTGAATTCTTTTGTGTGATCTTTTTTCTATTCATTTTATTTCTTTTCTTTCAATTCCAGGCAAAGAACATGTTTGTCGATTCATAGGCTGTGGTAGAAACGATCGGTTTAATTATGTTGTGATGCAGTTGCAAGGGAAGAACTTAGCAGAACTTAGGCGTGCTCAACCGAAGGGTGCTTTCTCTTTGTCTACAACTTTGAGGCTGGGCGTTCAAATTTTGAGAGCCATCCAGAGTATTCATCAAGTCGGTTTCCTGCACAGAGATATCAAACCTGTAAGTGTCTTATTGGTTTTGACAGAGTCTGTCTGTCTTCTCTATCCCTCTTTCATGGTCACAAATAAGTATCTTGCTTTGGAAACAGCCCTATTTGGGAAAAAAGGAAAATCTTGTTTTATTGCTAAAGAGTAGTTTGTAGGATAACAAGCGTCTCTTTTTCCAATTTTTTTATCTCATTTTACATGGAAAAGATATGCACCAGTTTTGTCTCTTTAGAAAAGTTCCCAACTCCAAGGTTTAAAAACATTCGTTTTACATCATTGAAGGCCCCGAAAATTTCATATTTTTAGTTTCAGAGTTCTTCCTGGCAACTGAATATCATGGGCCAAAAGGAAAATCCGATCGTGGTTTTTTTTTTTCATTTCAAGTTGAGAAAATTTTGCAATAACTTCAAATATCTTACATCATCTTAAACTGGAAGAGTTAGAGATACCTTTTTTCTTTAACTCTACTATCAATCTGTAAAAAATATCCATGTGCCTAGACCAGACTACATTTATAGTTCATACAGGCAATAACGTTTATAAACAACATTATAGTCTGATGGGGAGTACTTTTTAATTTCTGCAGTCCTCGCCACCATCAGAGGTGAACCCAGTATGATATCCAGATTACTGATCAGACAAGGAAAGACTTTAGAAAAAAAGAAACTAGCCCATCTTGTAAACTTACTAATAGTGAATTTACTGTTACCTCTGTTTTTTTCCCCAATTTAGTCCAATTTTTCAATCGGTTTAAGAGGCTCAAATGCAAGAAAAGTCTATATGCTAGATTTTGGCCTTGCCAGACAATATACAGTTGCATCTGGAGAAGTTAGACCGCCTCGTGCTGCAGCTGGTTTTCGAGGGACTGTTCGTTATGCTTCTATCAATGCTCATAAGAACAAGGTAAGGGTAAGGTCCTCTTCAAAACTACTTATTCTGAAAAGCTGAAGGAACTTTTGAATTTTCCTTGTAATACTGATTAATGGACCACTAGACAAGGTACGAATTCAAGCATTCTGATACATGTTTCTTAACCAGAATTTCACGTAAAACACTATTTGCGCAACGAAAACTAATGAAACAAACTCCAAACGAAAATATTAACGTTTTTATGTCACATTGGTTACGAGGGATTTGAACTGCCCGCTCACAAGAAACTCAAAGCTCTACGTGAGGCAAATCGCGCACTACAACGGTTTCAACAAGCTTCTCAATCGAGTAATGTTCATTTCCCATCATGTGTTGTTCAAACTATAAGCAATTTGCTACAGCTGAACCGAAGCGTCAAGATTGAGGTTGTCAGATTTTTCGGAGTTGATTTTGGTAATTTTCGTTATGCGCGTTGTATTCTACGTGAAATTTTGGTTAAGAATCATGTATCAGAATGCTGAAATTCGTACCTTGTCTAGTGGTCCATTGGAGCATCTTCCCAAAGGATGAAACCAATCTTGTAAGTATAGAAAATTTGCATGTGTCTTAAATTTTGTGGATTTCATGTTTAAAATGTTACTGCTAGGAAAACTGAGTACGAGGTTATCCTTGGTTTCCAAATTGGACAATTATTGGAAAAGATATGACAAAATAACGTAATCTGCTAAAATACTTGTGTTTAAATGGAAAATGCCGCCAGATGATGTCACAAAGCGGCAAATTTTCTCACTTATAAATCTATTTTTCTCAAATTTCTCATGTCAAAAAAAAAAATTATGATAAATCCTGCGAACTCAGCTCATTAGACACTCTCAGATAAAGCAATACAATTTTTGTGTGCAAATTCTTCTTTGGGAGCAGTCCTTGCGTTAAAAAAAATAAAGAGTTTTAGTAGAAACTCAATTTGTATCCCCAATTTTATGTTTAGAAAGTGCTACATGATGCCCTCTGCTCTTTGAAAATGGAAATTACTGGCACTCTGCCTCTTACTCGGAATGACAAGGTCTTGTTAACTCCACTATCAGATCCTTGAAATTGCTCCCAGGCGGTATCAATTCTTTTAGATTTCTATTTTATTACTTTTTTAACACTGTTGGTTTTAATTTGCAGGAAATGGGACGGCATGATGATCTTTGGTCGTTATTCTATATGTTGGTCGAATTTGTAAACGGTCAGTTACCATGGAGAAAAATCAAAGACAAGGAACAAGTAGGCTTAATGAAAGAAAAATACGATCATAGACTCCTTCTGAAACATTTACCATCTGACTTGCGGCAATTTTTAGAACACATTCAGGTATTTTTTATACTCATCTATATTACTTTTTCCCAGGACTTAAAAAAATTTTCAACATGAAAGAGTAACAGCTAAAAAATGGAAATCAATTCGGAAAACAAGGAGTGAGTGGATTCAACTCATTTTTGAGCCGAATTTCACAGAATTACCAACCGACCAAACAAAAAAACAATCACCAAAAATCCAAAACTAAACTCCGTAATTTAATGACTTGCGACCAAGGTTTGCATGCATCCATTTTACGACCCACCTTGGAAGGTGCGTCGAGAATTTTTTATGTGGTCGTCATTGCTCCCTACATGAAAATCATTTGGACGTATTTATGCTAAAAAGCATAGCGTTTACGTCTAGCATAGTTCCGTTTAGCTTAAACACGTCCATTTGTTGTAAGGCTGTAGGTGCATTGTCAACCAGGAGGAGTTTCGATTTTTTGTGATGGAGGTTGGCTGTACGTGGATAACTTGAGCATAATCCCCCGGGAAAATTCGACTCGCAATCTCACCCTCGCATTTTAACAAGTCCTTGTTTTTCAACATTTCTAAGCAGCTGAGTCTTTTTGCTTACCATTTATTCACATTATTTCATGCTTATTATTTCATTTATTATTTTTTTTTTACAAATCTATGAACAACATTTTCAACTTTTAAGATTTTTGCACTGACACAAGTTGGCCTTACCATATTTCTTTGGCTAAAAAATGGCTTTTGATTGGCTGAAAGGAATCTTTACTATTGTTTTTGCAGGATCATATGATCTAAGGAAGCCTCACAGCCCTTCAAAACCTTTTAGAATATTGAATTACAAACTAACTGCAATTGATAGTCTCCTGTACAAAAAAATGAACTCAATTGTGCTGTTTCAGTATTTCTTACATTTTATCTGTATGTAGGAGAACTGTCATACGAATTTGGGAGACATTTCTAGTGATTCTTCTTTACTCTTATGAGAAAAGACTCTGAAATTTTCGGACTAACTTGTGCAACGATTTTCCCATGGAAAAATAAATGTCGGTAGAAATACTGAAACAGCACAGACAAGGGACATTTCTGTTTGCAAAAGAAACAAATTTATTAGTCGGGTGCTTTTGTCAAATCATGTTAGGTTTTTTTTCCTGTCAAGTAAACCTGAATTTTTTTCATCCTGTGAAATCTGCTCTACTTCTAGAAATGTTTTAATTATGGAAGCTAAATCTATCCAATAAGTTTGTACATACATACATTATCACTAATTTTTACATCTTTCACTGTGTGATCTGTATTTATTATGTTTTATAATAATCTTTTTTTTGTCATGGTTTGCTGCAGAGTCTAGGATATGCTGACGAGCCAGACTACAACATGTTAGCAGGGCTGTTTGAAAGATGCATGAAAAGGCGAGGAGTCAAGGAAAGTGATCAATATGATTGGGAGAGAACGATGCCAATAACCGTACATAACCTTGATGAAACTCAAAACCCGACAGCACAAGTCATCAACAACACCTCTCCCGCCATTATAACTAGGCCGCTAACCACTTCTGTCGGACCAGGACAGAATAACCAACTGATAACCACGACACTGGATAACGACCAAGAAAATATCGAGCCTGATAATAAGAAGGAGCTTGAAGCGCAATTAGATTTAGAAAACAAACGGAAATACAAGCAAATGCATCGTAATCCAATTGACTTACAATCAGAGGAAGGCTACAAGCAAATCATGGACAGGCTATGGCCGGCTGAACAACAGGACGGCGCCCCAATCAATCAGACTGGTTCTCCCAAAAAGTCCTCACAGAGACGCGCAGTGTCAATGCCTGGTCTTGAACCAAACCAAGGTTTGTTCCATTTTCTTCCCATTGCATTGAATCGAAATAAACAATGGTGCTCTGACATACCAGTAACAAGGCTATTTTTATCTTATAAACAAAATGAAAGAAAACGCAGAACTATTTGTAATGATCCCAATATATTCCTTATATATTAATTTTCCGATTCTTCTCTGTTTTCTCATCCCAATATACCCTGAGTATGCAGTAATTTCTATCTGTGAAGAAACTGCTTTGTTTCCTAAAATTTTTCGATTTTTTTTTTTTTTTTTTTTGAGAAATACATTCATGAAAAGTACAGGGAAAGCTAATAAGTTCAGTTTTCATGAAGTCAATCAGTAAATGTCAGACATTTCAATCATATTTGTGTGCTGTCCCAAAAATCAATTTGACCCCTTATATAAAATATGCTTGAGTGTTCGACTAATTAAACTTTGAAAGTCAACATTCATGAAACAAAACTTTTTGCCTACTTGTTGAAACAAGTACAACAACATTCAAACAAGCAAGCAAAGAGTTTGAGTTTTTTTACTCTCAAAAACGTGTTAGTCAAATTTTTTTGCTGTTTTTAAAAATCTTTTTGTTTTGGTCACTAAGCGCTCAAAATTAAATTATTTTTCAGGACTACAAACCTACCTTTGTAGAATTAGATTTTTGAACTCCATATCACTTTATCTTACTTACTTTATAATTACTCTTTTCAGGTTCAACTCCTCCATCTTCGCAGCAACAACCAAATGCGGATAACGCGGACGTAGATGGCGATGCAGTCATGATCTCAGCTCGCAGCCAGTCAGATGCGATCCATCGCAGTAAGACACAGTCTCATAATCAGAATGTTAAGAAGTCTGACACAACAATCGGAAGAATACGTGTAGTAACAGCCCCTCCATCTCTGCTTCAGGACCGCTCGAAACAGAGACTTTCGGTCGATAGCCCGGCTGGTGATACTGAGTCGATCAACAATCTGATCCCCAAAAATGAGTCGGTAACAGAATTAGATGCTTCTGTGTACTCCTGTGATAACAAAGCGGGCACTGTGAGTAACTACCCTACAGAAAGCACGCGGCCTACATCCGCTGCCAACAACAAGGAGTTGCGCGTTGTCAGACGGCAACCTGTGAATAGACCGCTCTCCGGCCGGTCGTTTGTAAATAGAGATGCATCCTTTACTCAATTTGCTGTGATAGATGATGATAATGTTTCTGCCATGCAACAAGTCACTAGAGGAGGTGGCGGTAAGTTATGTTTTGTTCTCAATCGAAACTAGTTGACTTTCTCTCGTTTATTGTTGAGAGATGCCTAACTTTCCATGCTCAGTTTACAATAATTTTTACCATACACCTTGACTTATAGTAATACCCTGATTACCCGACAATTTGTGGCGAGAGCCGTGTTGCATATTGTAAAAGTCAAATTGTTCGAAACCACTAAAAAAAAGCTGAATAAATCTCATTTCTGGCTCTGTCTTTAACCTAAAAGCCTAAGCTTGGCCAATTTTTCTGTCATTTTAGTAAAATATAGTCAATGAATGGATGGGAAGGAGTACCACATATATGTTCTATTCTTGTCCAAAAAAACCTGTTTTTTTCGAGTCAGCGAACTTGCTCTTGGCCAAAAACTCAAGTTTGACTATGTTGGATAATTGAGGCCTAACTGTATTTTAATCTGTTGCATCTAAACAAGTTTGGCACAAGTGGTCTAATCTATATTTTTACTTTCAAGCAAATTGATTGAACACGTATTGATGGGTCTCTCGAGGGGTAGATGATCTGCGCTTGCACGAATGATCTATTCCCATTGTAGAGCTAAAGAAACAACACCGCCTTTTCTATTTTTTTGCTAACCCATTTCTTTTTAAATTGCCTATTCATGGATGTTACCATCTCTAATTTATCTTTTTTCCGACCCTCTATTGTCAAAAACTCTTCATCATGCCTGTAACTGTTGGCCCATAGTCTTAGGAATAATAAGAAATTAAACTGTGAACATCTTTGGATTTTTTTGGATTTTTCAAAACGAGAGCGAGTAAACTGCATTGTCATATAATCCTTAAGTTGCGCAGTAAAGATACATAATTTTGTTAATTTATCTTTTTAGTTAATAGGAGCTCCTTCAGTTGTTACCATGATCTTACTCTTATCTTTAGGTGTTTTACTCATACTGAACTTATGTCCATAGGTCTAACCTTAGCCTCTCAGTGGAAATCCCAATTCGATGACTCAGAAGAAACTGATAATGAGTGGAAAGGAGAGAACCTTCAAAGTCCCGAACATATGAAATACAACATTTCTCAAGTAAGTTGAAAAGTATTCTATCTCGAGCAGTAAAACTCCTGACCTAACTCTAGACATCAGAACAGCGCATTTATGAGGTTGGTTCAAAAAGTTAATGGAAAATTGATGTAATGGTGGTTTTTAAATGCACTTGGGCTGTTTCAAACTTTCCCCCAGTGTTTGAATCACTTGTCCTAGCAAGATCTTTCATTTCTGAAAGCAGTCCTCGAAAGCCCCTTGTAGGATGTCCTTCAGTACTCTCATCAATTCTGGAATCACCGTTTCTTAACCTGGATAATGATGGTTTCGTAAACAGTTTTTTGTCTCGCAGAACAGAAATTCAAGGGAGGCCGCATTAGGCTAAAAGGATAAAACGCTTATGCAATTTCATGGTACTCTGATTTAGCAAAAATCAAGCAAAAAGAAGGAAAAATCATGTGTTTCCGTGCCGAAAAGTCAACCAACACCTTCTTTCCTTCATGAAGGCGTCCTAGAAAAGCCCAAGTCATTGACTCAGCAGCTCTGCAGAGATTATGTAAATTTTTTTGTTCTTAATTCCACGAAAATCCCGAAAGGTTCACTGAGGCTTAAAACTAAAGCTGCAGCAACGGGGTCTAAGCATATACCTGCCTCTAGGCATTTAACTAAATTATTTTTCATTTTTATTAGATGTCATTTTTCCTAACTTTTCGATAATGTTTTGTGTAGGTTGCACTGTTAACAGAGTCCACCAATCCAATAGCTGCAGAACCCAAGCAGTCTAGTCAAAGTAATCCAATTCTACTAGCCGGCGCTCTGCCTACCATAGAACTTTCAAAAATTAGTGAAGACTCCACAAAGAACACAGATAAAAAATCTCAGCAAGTAAGTGACATATATCCTAATTCATAGGTTTTACCATTGGACTTTTGAATTACAAATAATAATACTAAATAAAAAAAAAAAAAAAAAAAAATATGCTTACCTTAACACTGTAAATTTATTTTGTCGTCGCAAATGCACTTGCCGTAAACTTTCATTGTCCAAGTGCATCATTTATTTCTCTACATAATTTGCCGAGACTTATTCACAAAATTTTTTAACAAACCTTCGAAATGAGACCATTTCCCAAACCTTAGTTCATTTAAAATGTCTTAATTTTTTTGTTTTTTCCAGACTCGAGAAAATGGCAATATCAAAACTAGTTTAAAAAGTGATAATAGTCGGAGAAGTAAAGAAAGAAGCAAGTCACCTGCCTCAAGGTGCCTAAACATAGCGGGGATTGAAAAATTTAGCGAACTTCAGCCTTCTTTACCCAGAGCTTGGAGTTTACCAACTGTAAATACAAAAATAAGGTTTGGACCCTATTTAATGTGCCATTAAATCCTGTTCAATCATTTTTTAGAACGATTCATTGGCCTTCTATTCAGTGGATAAAGAGTGACTTACTTTTTATCAAAAATTATATTTTTCAAAAGATTTCAGTTGCCTCCTAGTTATAACTATCTTTACAATGAGTCTGTTGCATGCAAAAGACACAGACAAGTGATTAGACTCTTTGCAGGCAAAATCGCACAGAAACTTCGTCTGTGCGAATTGTTGCCAAACCCTTCCTACATCATACATCAATCAATACACCTTTCATTGCAATTTTCAGCTATTTCATATTGTATAGCATACAAAATTGTCTGAAAAATTGGGGGAAAAACGTTGATTTATTTATCTACTTCAACTTTCCCAGGGTCCCAAGTCCCAATGAAAGAAGATACATAAATAATTACTTAAAGAATAATAACAAAGGCAACAAAATATGCAACAAAATGGGCTAAAAAGATTATGCTTAATAACTAATAAGAACCTGTTCTTTCACTGATGACTTAAAATTAGAAATGCCTAGGCCAAAGAATTGAATCCACTCGATACAATTATTTGCAAAAAGTGTAATAAAATAAAAATATAAATATGGAAAAATATTCTCAACTTTCCCAATAAATTTATCTTTTACCAAAAGAAATGCCTGCAGGTTCAAAGAGTGTTTTTACTTAGCTTGGTAGAATAAAAGTTCAAATATCCAATTGACAATGGTAGTTGTCTGCATTGATAAATGCATTTACAGACTTCAGAATCCTCTTCAAATCAATCGATCAAAATCTTAATAGTTGTGATTAAATTTAATTTAGTTCTTTTTTTATTATTCTTACATGATTATTTATAATTATGAACCATGCATGAATTTTCAGATCGGGTTTAGAGCCACCATTACTTCAGCAAGCAGCATTTGATGATATAGTATACGAGCTTGATGTCATGCGGAATGTTGCTGTACGTAGATCTCAAAATGATGAACATGACATTGATAGGCGGCCAAGTTTACCGGTAGTTTTGGTGAGTAATAATTTCAACACTCAATCATCATCACATCTGCCATCCGCAGCAAAAGCGCAATGACTCCATTCGTATTTTTCTTTTGCTCACACTGCTCTCTTACCAGAAAACCCAATTGCCACAAGACTTCATGTTTTCATTTTGAGTTCCTAATGGTATGTTGGAGTTAACCCGAAAAATGAAGGATGAATATCTGTTAGTTTTCTAGTAAAAAAGAATTTTGTCTGAAAATGGATGTAAAAAATATCGAATGAAGCTTCATTGTTTTTACCATTGACACCTTATCGATCTCCAATTTTTTCCAAGAAATTTTCCCTCTTCTTTTCACCTTTGGCTCATCGAAAAGTGTCCAAAAATCTTCTGCAGAGTCCTCTCGAATCGATAAAAGAGCCTCCAAAAGAAATTATTTCTGTAAGTTTGGCCTTCTGAAACTTACTTACCTAATCATTCTCTCATTAATTTTCTAGTCTAATTTCCAAATGGATGTGTCAAAGCTTGATAAGCCGTCTGAAGAAGATGTTAAATTTCACAAAACATGCAATGGAACTTTAGGAAACCACAAAGTTTCTGGTGGAGACAAGGATGACGAACACTACTGGGAATCATTATTGACAGCAAAAACAAACACCGATGATGATCAGCAAGAAGGTCAGTTTTTTTTCCAAATTCCCCCTTACCAATGATTCCATTATTGTGGTGTCTCAAGGAATTCAGTTTTTTTTATTTTCAAATGCAATTTACATAAAAAAAAAATTTAACTTCCTCTCTTACCAAACAATCAGTTGTCTTGCAATATTTTTCATTGAAGGAATGCGCAGGAAATCAGAGATACAGGATTCGAAAGATTCTGCATCTTCATGTACCCGCCAAATGTCCCTCCAGTTTCCTTTTGTATAAATTCCTGCCAAAAAGTTTTAACCCTTTTCTCTTTGATTTTCGACTTGTGACCATTAGAAATTTTCCCTTCTACGTTTACATGCCTTGACAGGCGCAAAATCGAGCATTTTTTTTGCATTCTTGTAGAAAACCAATGACTTAAAGCCAATGGTCACCTCTGAAACAAAGGGGTTTCTTTGAGATGTCATGCCTTTTTTCTTCAAGATGTTTATATTCAAAGCAGTTACACTAAAAACTTTTTTTTTTCACAAACGCAAAATTGTTGTGTTCTGATACCTTGTGATTTTTTGTCAAGCAATGCACATCATCAAGTAAAATAATTTCAGAATAGTACTTGATGTAAAATGTCTCATAATAATTGAATTACCAATTAATTATATCTTGAGTGCATACAAAATAGAAACAGTTTTAGCACCAAGGCTACGCTCTTACAATTAGTATTATTTGTACTATTAACTGGGGGCAAGCAAGGATAATATCTTGCCTATAATTTGATGCCTTGTTTCATACCAAATGTTGCAGTATCTTTCATTCTCACGGAAGACTTTTTCTGGCTTGGCAATCTATTATTACCATCGTAAGGTTATTTGTAATTTCATCTACGTATTTCTTTCATTTCAGGTGATAACGAAATGATTCCAATAGCAGGAAAACTGAAAATTTGTGTTGCTAACAGAAATCGATTCAACTCTGATCTCTCAGGAAACCTAAATAACAATGCTGCAGCTTGTAAGAAATTAGAAGTCAATAAAGGTTAGTTTTTAAATCATGCTTCAATGCCTTTTTCAGAAAAAATAAAAGCAGCAAATACGCATCAAAAACTACAGCCAAACCTGTCCATGGCAAGGCCCGAGGGCGGCAAATTTTACTTTAACAAAAGTTGAAGTTGAAAGATAAAGTCAATCACATTGTAATTACCTTTCTTTCTTTGTTCCATGAGATGGTCTCAAAATTTTTGAGACATTTTGGCTCTTGTTATATGCAAAAATCATGGAAAGAGGAGCTGACCAGCTAAAACTAATGTACCTCTCAATTCGACTTGCTGAAACCACTTGAAAACACTACTTTGGCTTATCGTCTGGGGTTTAAATCTTTTTCCTCCAGTCTAAGACCTGCTTTAGGAATGCGAACGGTTTCTTTAACTTTTTACTTCAGTGTACTTTTGATTTCTCAGCCTATAAAGCACTAAAGTTGTATGATTTTTCTCTGTCATAGTATCCAACGGAGACTCAGTAAGTCCTGGCAAAGATGAATCATCGGTGTATTTTGATGCAAACGAAGACACCACGAAACAAATAACTCTGTCTCCTGTCCTAGAAAATGACTCCAACTCTCAAAATGCAGAAATGAGGTATAGTTTCTTTTCTTTTAATCAGCTCAGCCATCAACTTTGACCTTCATAATATTAATGTGAAACTAAAGCTAAATCCCTAACCCAATACGGATTCTTTCAATCAGCGTGTGGATTTGCAGCTGGGAATTTCGGGTGAATGCTCACAGGGTGTGCCTCTGAAGCTTGACGTTTTTGATCAGCACGATTTTATTTTTGCTTCCTCTTTTGCAAGTTGTTCAAATCTCTCCAGGGAACCAACAAAAACAAATTTTTTTTTTTTACTCTTTTCTCTGTATTCCTTTTTCCTTGCCTGTTGAGTGCAGACTTCAGATTCTGATAACTCACACTGTTGTCTTTTTTTGGAGTAGCATGACTGGATATACTCTCGCTCTTGTAAGGTTTTAACTGGCCAAGGATTATCTCAGTACATAAGTTAATCTTTAATGGTTCAAAATAGCACTTTTTGGTATAACTAACCCTTCGCTTTTCCTCACTATGGCTTAAACGTAATTTTATCGGAGCAGATGATAACTCTTTGGGAAGTTTCAGTGATTGGAAGTCAACTTAGCTAGAATTTAGTTCATTTTGTGTGTGCAATTGTGTTGTAGGAAAAAAATTTTGAACGCTAAGGGTAGTAAAATCCCAGTACCAGTTGGAGGGAGTAAAAGTCCCAGAAACAGTGGCATGTGCCATTGCACAGATAGCCCCATCGATGACGCCAGGTACTTGACATTATCTGTTTGTCCCTCTCCAGCATGTGCGAAAAGCCTTGAGTCTTTCTCCTTGCATTCAACTTCTCTCAGTACACCACGCCTTTTTTTATCCATACCAGAACAACAACTAAGTACCGCTAGGAATCTTATTCTTGACAATTACGTACTATGAAGATGAAAAAGTCCTCAGAGAGCCCTTTAATATTCCAACAAAATTCTATCACCATGTCAAACTCTAAATGTCTACACATTTTTGGAATATCCATCTCCCTTCTGGCAAGTCATAGTAGGCTGATAAACCTGTGGTGTCAACAGAAACGCATTCTATCATATTATCGCATTATTTTTAAGTCCTCAACAACCTGCACGCATCAGTAGCTTGGAATCCTCAGAGTCAATCACAGACTATATTGGTTGACATATTTCTGTCACTGCACGAGAATTTCAACAAACTGACTATTTGCCACAAAATAATATGCTTAAAATTATGCATCGACAAGTTTTATAATCAAAACTTCCTTACCGTTTGGACAAATTAGTTATGGAAGGAAATCTTCAATGTCGTTGGTTTTCCGTAGTAATTCCCTGCCTCATTTCTCATGTTTGTGTGTCGTGAATACCTTGGAGAATGCAATTACATGTAATATTTTCTTTCCGCTGTGTTAATTTTCTAACTGCTGTTTTATTTTTTCTGCAACTTGCAGATCTTTCAACAAAATATTTACCCCTCCATTTAAAAATGACATCATTTTCCGATCAACGACAAATTTCCATTAATTCATTCTATGTGTACACTCATCTCTCAATTCTTTTTTACCTCTGTATTCTTTTTTTTCATGTCTATTGTGATTGTTCAGCTTAAAATCTTCTCAGTCAATATGCATGCATGTTACTATTTCGCTCAGTTTGATGGAATTTTATAGTCTCAAACCTGCAGTGCATTGCTTTTAATTTTATTTACTCTAACGCACTTAATTATCTACGCTCAATCTTAACTCTTGATGAATAAATTGGCATCGGAAAGGAACAATGTCTGAAACACGGTGATTAGCGCTAGCTATTAGGGTTTTGCATGTGAACTTCTATCCTCCAGCCAGCTGGCAGGAACTTACAAAAACATTGACAACACAAACGAGACAAAATTCAGACTGTGTCAGATGTCTTCTAGACCCGAATTTCCGAAAGTTCATGAAATATTGTTCATCCGCGAAAAATCGGGGATACTCGTTATGAATTTTTGGATCCAACCAAAATATTATGAACTTTGGCTGCATCCATTAACTTCACCAGCAGAGATCAAAACATGATAAATTTACCTCAGAAAGTTTAAAGAAAACTTATAAATTTTAATCATGAGAAAAGTCTAAAATCTAAGAAATTTTCTTCTGTTGTAACTTGACTTTATCTTCAGTCCATCGTAGTTCGTTTGAATATCAATTATCTGAGCAAGCTGTCCTTTATAATCTTTTTCCTTGATCCATTTTTCATATCTATCAAAGGTCTGATTACATCAGTAACTCTTATTTCAATCAATTGTGAGCCCTCTAGGTTCTAATACCTCCAATAAAAGTGTCAATAGGTGTATATAAAGGTGTTATATAAACTTATAACAGGAAATTCTAACTTAAAAAGTTTTAGTCCGCAGCATATTTGTAATTATCTTTCCTATGTGTAATAAAGTAGTGCATCAGCGTTTCCAAGGCTGTTGTGTGCGTAATATGCTATGAGAAAATGCCTGAAGAAATTGGTTTTGCATTGTATCGACAGGTACTCTGGAGATAATCTTGTGAATGCGGCTGCTGACATGTTATCTAATATCCTATTAACTAAGCACACTTGGTCGGATACTGGAGGTGACATGCAGTTGACACCAGCTTTACGCCGCCGGCGACAGACGCAAGATAAATATGTCACTGATGCCTCTCAGTTGCCTCTCAGATTTACACGCCCCCAAGAAAGACGCAATATTAGGTCTAGGTATGACTTGATGTTATTATTACTTTTCTCTGTACTTGGTACACGTCAGCAACAGTATCCAAACTCTGTTCAAACCAGAAATGAGACTTAATGCTCTAAAGGATTAACAGCAGTTCCTACCATACTTGCCACGTGGTTGCTATTAGTAAGCTAAAATATTTCTGTTTATAAGTGTACTTGGTCTGTCAATCCATACATTAGTTCAAGTATTTTCTTCCTTTACGAAAGTTTGATCCATTGTCATCAGCCAATTCTTTTCTTTCAAGTCAGTGAGTCAATTCTCATGAACTGTGTGCATCCTCTTTCGAATGAAAGGAATGCATGTTCCTCTCCCGTGTTTTGCAGTTGCAACATTTTAAGCCCGGTTAAATTCGAGTGGATAAACTTTCTTAACCAAATTCCAGTATTCTAACAAACTCGATTGAATTGTGACCATGAGAAGGATTGTTTACAACTTTTTTCTTGTTTTTTACCCCCTCCTCTTGATTTTTCACTCCCAGCTCCTGTCTAATATACATTGATACTTGTTCTTTTCTGTAAGATTTATTATTGAATCATCAAGATCAATCGCCAATGATAGCAATGATGAAGAAATAACCGTCTTGATCAGAGACCAATTTATTTAGTGTGTTTGGTCCACTCCCAAAATTATTTTTATATGAAAATGTACGTTTGCCTCATGAATTCAGTCTTAAAATAATGGCGGATTAAGATTGTAAAATAGGCTCCTATGGCAGATAGTATGGAACTAAAACCATCAATTCTATTTAAGAAAAGAAAATATTTTAAGCTTGATGGTACTGCAAGAAAACTTTACAAGTCTCACGTCCAGGTTTTATGAACAGTATAGGTGAAATTCATTGTGAAAAAGTACAGCTCAAAAAATGGATTTGCATTCAGTTACTTAAATCAAGGAAGTTCAACGTTCTGTGTTATTAAGGACTGATACGGTTGACTCTATTCGGATTAGTCACTTATTTTCATCTATTGCAAGTACGCCTTAATTAAATTGAGATGTGCAAAGACCACTACTGTCCATTTTTCCAGTCTTCAGTTTTTTTGAGTCGATAATAGTTTTGGGAGTTTGATGCAACCACAAAAATGGCATTAATACTCGTCTTTGGGTTACCTTAATCCCAAAACGAGTCCTTTCATCACTTTCATGTTTGTATGAACTCTTTAAAAGTAATATCAACTCAAAAAAACTGGAGACTGGAAAAATGGACAATAGCGGTTTTTGCACGTCCCGATTCAATTGTTATCTGTGCAAGTAGAAGAAAAGGGTAAACTTATCTGAAACAGGATACTCCTAGATTGGTGTTCAGTTGCAAGAAAGTAATTCCTGTCACAGAAATGGGTCATGGATCCCATGGGATGCAAGTAAAATGGGACTTGAATAGTAGGAAGTCAAATGGCAATAATATTCAAAGCTCATTGGATCGAAAATTTTCTAGAATCATATCCCATTTAAAAAAAAACTTGTCAAGAACTCTAGACACTAGTGGGAGCTAATTGGCTCTTGCTATATTTTCGTGGACCTTTAATTGACTATTATTATGTTTATCACTAGGCCAATTCCAAAGAATTTAGTGATCGGTCCGGTAGAAGCTGAGATATCTGCAATTGAATTTACTTATCTGCGATTAAATTTACCGATTGCTTTGTTTTCTCGCTCTAACCTCAAGCACACTCAGATGCTATAAATCTCAGCTTGCACAAACACTGTATCCTTTCCGTAAGCTTTGTGTTTAATGAAGATTCTAATGACAATGTCTGTTATTTTCCAGACCAAACCCAACAAGTAACACTATAAGTGGAGCAAGTAGAGGAACATCTGTGATCCGAGGTATCCCATCTCATCTTCTCTCATCGCCTGGCGGTGAAGAAAGCAGTGAACAAGAAAGTGATTCATCTGGTGGCTATCAGCACCCATTTCCGCCTCCAATATCTGAACTTAAACAGACTGAAAATGATCCAAGGTATTTTAGAAAAGCTCTTTAATCGCTTCATTTGCTCGCAACAACCATCAGTAAAACTGGGAAGTTGTTAGTAGATCTTATGTTGGAGTTTTTTGCCAACGTGCGTTAAAAAATTCAGCATAAAGCTGAAACTCTCAATACAGAGGGAAAAGCTCATTCGAGCACAAATTTCCCTCTGAAAGACATGCTGTTTGGAGCAACACTAGTTACGTCCATTCAGGAAGGCAACTGCAGACGCGTTTCGGCCTTGTTGGGCCATCCTCAGTGCAGCGCAGCCTCCTGAATTATCTGCTACCAAGCTCGAGAGGTCGTAAAAACCAGCCCGAGACTTAGGCAAGCGGACGCTGGCGGCAAGTATACTTGCGCCATCTAGTGAGCGATTAAGTGAGCGATGGCGCAAGTATACTTGCCACCAGCATTCGCTCGCCCAAGTCTCGGGCTGGTTTTCACGACCTCTCGAGATTGGTAGCAGATAATTCAGGAGGCTGCGCTGCACTGAGGATGGCCCAACAAGGCCGAAACGCGTCTGCAGTTCCCTTCCTGAATGGACGTAACTAGTGTTGCTCCAAACAGCATGTCTCTTAGAGGGAAATTTGTGCTCGAATGAGCTTTTCCCTCTGTATTGAGAGTTTCAGCTTTATGCTGAATTTCTTACCGCACGTTGGCAAAAAAACTCCAACATACTGTCGTATGAGTGCGTCTACGGCAATCAGTTTGTAGATCTTGTAGTAAGATTAGATAAGATTTAATACCTGGGAGACAAAGCCCAAAACAAGGAAACTCTAAGGAGTTTTCACGACTTGTAGATGTTTGTTTGCCACCTTGCAAATTTCTTGCCTCTCTTATTTTTTTTATTTCAATAAAATACATTCTCTTTAAAAAAAAAAAAAAAAAAAAAAAAAAAAAAAAAAAAAAAAAAAAAAAAAAAAAACCAATTCGTATCATTCAAAACAGTTTTTGTTTAGTAACGTTATCATTTCTTTATCACTTTCAAGAAATTCATCAAAATTCTTTGTCACCATTTTCTATTAAGCGCTCTTTTTTTATACCTACCAGGTGCCGTAGGTTTCAACCTGTAGCGGTCTCTGAAACTCCTCTTCATGAATCCTGAGTATTGCCTTCAAGATCCTACGTTTCTGCTAAAATAGTAAGTCAATTTTGTAAATCATGAAACATGATTCACTTGTATTGTGAGTCGCAATCTGTTGTGCTTTCAATTTTTTATTACGTGCTTGGCTCATTTTCAGAGTTCAGAAAATATTGAAATCGGATTAAAATGAACTGATTTGGTAGTTTTTTCATTTAATGTGTCTGATTGCTCCATTTTAAAATAAAAGACGAACCCTTCATCTCTGATTCAACATATTTTATGAATGTGTCTTAATTTTCTTTGGTTATTATAGAGATCTAGATTCAAACAAACTAGTCTGATTTGGGTCATTTAACATCATCAGTATATCATGTTGTAAAACTTGGATTAATTCCAACGATTAATTTAAATCCAAAGCCTAGACTTTTATCCTTGAATGTGATCAGTTATGTAGATGAAAAACAAGTTTAGTTTGTTCAAAACTGAAGAAGACTGTTTAAAATTTTGAAATGTTTCCATTTTTTCACTTCAGAGAAAAAATTAATATTTTTCATCTAATGTTGTTTTGATGAAATAGAAGAACCTTTACTATCCCGAGAAGAAAATTAGAGAACTATCCATTAAACATCCATCCTTCCACTCAAATCCTAATATTTTTCTTTCTAGTAATCGGAGTTTTTGTTTGTTCCAGATAATGTCGCTGACATGGAATGCCTTTAAGGTAGTTGAACACTCGTTTTTTGTGGAAGTCTTCTCTCAAATTTTGTGAATACTTGAGAACTTATCAGTTTTTATCGGAGTCAAATGCTTGTGCCTGTCCGTTTTGTGTGTTTATCATCCATGCTAGTCAAAATATATTTAAAGTCTATACATAGTTTATAAATTAATTTATTCATTTTTAATCATGCAACAAAGTCTCCCTTATCGAACAGGATACTGGCCCTTTGTTAACAACCGCTCACAAAACAAGCATGTCTTTTTTTTGTCTTTTTTTTTTACAATTTTGCTCTAAAAGATCACCTCTGAGCGGCTGAAGTAGCTTTCCATTTATTTATCAAAGTTAATTTCTCTGGATTTTCCGCAAATTTATTTTCAGTCATTAATATGATTGGGATGAAATCGACATTATCCTTGGTTTAAGAAAATCATAAGTAAGCCGAACCTACTTAGAGCATTATTTTGTTAGTTTTTAGAACCATTAACAGTCACATAATTACAAATTCAGTTCAGTAATTTTATTTTCTCAAAGAAATATCATCCTTGTCAGAAATTAATGTCTTTTTACTGTAGACTCCAGTTTTGTCTCTCGCCTCCTCTAATTTTTTAATGTTTTTCTCTATTTTATTCCTCTTCTTTTTCTCATTTGAAGCTACTTATTACTTTAATTTTAATGAGAGGAAGCTCAAAATAATATGTAAAACTGGAGCCAAGAGAATGCAAAAATTACTTTGATATCTGAGACTATGTTGTAGCTTGCATTGCTTAATTTGATTGAGGATTGAAATTGTATAGTAACTAGTAAATATAGTTGCTTTTTTTTCTGGCCGTCAGGTTTTGTAAATAATATTGCCTATATTTATAAATTTTGTTAATCAAATAATGATTAATTTGTAAGTATTATGATAGTTTTAAATGTTGAAACTGAGATGTGTTGTTAGAAACAATTGAAAGAGATCTCTGAAGTGAGTGTGAAACAAGGAAAAATCAAATTTATGTCCAGATTTCTAGGCTCAGTTGTTAATTTTGTCACGTGATAATCCAGGTATTTAATACTGTCAATGAAATTCTATTGAATTGTATCATGGCTATCCCACAGAACTTATTTGAAATTATTCTAAGTGCGGAATGTAAACGAGGTCTCGATTTGTTTTTAAATTTGCTCATCTAAGATATCGGTGCGAAATGACCTGATTTAACTTCATGAAGTTAAATAAAATACTCACTGTTGTAACCTATAAATAGCTTGCGATTATTAATTCTGATTCGATTTCTCTCCATAAAATGTTTCTTAACTTTTGTTAATGCACTCCAAGAATTATATACTGTGAAATAATTTCATTGATTACTCACAACTCACTCTGAATTTTATTGATCAATACGTTAATTTCTTCGTTAGACTATTCTATTTTGTAGTCCAATGGGTCAGCTGTGTGAATTTTAGAATCGTATTTTAATGCTTGATTCTTGTAGATAGCTAAGAATCTTAAGGTCTAACCCAGCACCAAAATTTTACATTCAACACAAGTCGATACATAACATTATCTACCATTTTTTTGAAGGGTAATTTGTCTGTTAATAGTGCCATGAAAGCGTAGATTCCGGACGGGTCTTAATGATTTTTGCTAGTCCATAAGAAACAATAATTAAAATAAAATTCTGTGCCAAGAGCAACTGATCCAATCGTAGTTGAAAGTAGTTTAAAAAGACGGAGCAAATACCTAAGTTGTACTTTGTAATTTCTATTATCTTCCTCTACTTATTGAGTTTGTAAAAAAGTAAAGAAGTCAACGTTATTTTTGTACCGGTCGTCCTGTACTGTCTGAAGTAACTATTAATTTAAACTGTATATTTACAGTGTATTTAGTTCTGTGTGCATCGTCTGCTGTTGCTTAGCTCCGCTCAACATATCTCTAGAGTTAATTCTCGATTGTTTTCCTCCTTGCCTTTCCTTCGGCCATCCAATTGTCAGGGGCATTTCAATGAACTAGTCAATATCTCGATCTTTGCTTACTTTCTAATCTAGTATGGAAGCTCTGTTACTGAATCGAAGTAAGTCTCAGGCCTTGTTGAATTGCTTTAAGTTGCTACTGATAATGTGGCTGAATGTCTGTACTTAAAATCTCTAGGCGTAGTCTTCAAAGTTTTTTCTTCTTAAGATTAATGGTATAAAATTGAAGGTTGTTTTTTTTTTTTCTTTTGTTTTCATTTTGGATTGTAATGTTCCTCATTTGAGCTTTGAACAAATTCGAGTAAAGTTATTTCCCAAAATTGTTGTAATTTTATGTTTCAAAGCTCTGCAGGTTTGAATATTCTTTTTTTATCATATTTTTTTTTTCTATCTGTACAGAGACCCTGGGATTGTACCTCCTTTTTTTGAGGAGTGGTTAATTTTATTTTAATTGTGGTAATAATTAACTTCCTCAATTGTCGAACCCAAGCTCTCGTGTATTTCACTCTACTGCGAACATACCTACTTATCTATTTATTCAAAGACTTAGCAATTTGTGAAGTCTTGTTTCATTTTAAAGGATAAATCAGCCTCTCTTTGGTTAATTGCTTCATTTGTTAATTTTGTGCCACTAATAGTTCTTAACTTACAATGGTTTTTATTTAATGATGATTTTAGCCATCCCACCGCTGATTTCTGCCATACGCCTATCTTGTATGTTTCTTAAATTTTCCTGTTACAATTTCAGCTTTGCTAAATCTTAAGTAATTATCACTCAACACAACACTTTTCAGCGAAAGTGTTTGCCTCACTTTTGATCATGAAATTCAATGCATCAAAATCATATCATGCATTAAATACAGTCTGTTGAAGTTACCCAATGTCAGCTGGCTCGGTCACCCATCAAACTTCTAGACATCCGTCGCTAAAATTTACTTTTCTTATTTTTACTTCAACTAGTCTGTGATTTGTTTCAAGGGTTTTTTTTTTTTTAATTTTTTCCATCTCTGTGCAGTTAGGTTCTTCTTTCATGTTGTGATATTATTTTATACTTTACGTTACAGGAATCACTGTGGTAAAACTTGCTAATATTATTTGTATTCTTAAGGATCCTGTTGATTCGCTAAAATAACAGCTCTATTTTTTTTTTATTTTACTCTTTTTCTTTGTTATTTTCCAATTATCCATCTTCCTTGTAGTAGAAGCCTTACTTTCCTTTTTCTTTCTGTCTAATTAAAGTGATCAGCCAAAAGAAATTTAAAGTACCAAAATGGTGGATGACAATTCAATTCAGATTCAATGGTTTTCATTCATTAGTCCTGTATTCATCGTACGATTATTTTCCTTCAAACCCCACTCAAAAGTCCTTTTTTGAACAACTAGTTGAGTCATTTTGACAGCTAACGGTTGTTCCGTTAACGTTAGAAAAAAAAGTATTTTAGCTTTGATTTTTTTTAAAAATGTTTTTATTTTTTTTTCGTAGTGTTTGCTGAAAGTTGCTCAGACGAATCTGGATTTACTGAAGTCTTTTCTTATCAACTGATCGTTCAACTCTAAAATCTGGAGGCAGAATATTTCAAATGTGATTCTAATTATTTTCGATGCTCCCCTTTCAAAAGATTATTAGGATGAGAAACTTCCTTCGGTGAATGCAACTGTAGGATAGTAACGGAATTGAGGTTTGAAATAAAATATCGAACAGCTATTGTACAAAATCCTGCATAACAATCGTACATACAGTTTGAAATTGTACCATCTTTCTCCTTCTCACTGAGCGCATTTTTAGATGCAAGCATGTTTTTACTTGATGTAAATGTCGAAATCATAGGCAAGTTGCCAGCAATATTGTTGCAATATCTTGACAATATATCACTACCAGTCCCAGAGAATGGATTACGTATTAAAATAAATTGCACATAGACAAGGGCCTGAATTTTGTTGACAGGTTTACGGTGTGCGGTTGGTCGCAAGTTGGAGTAAGAATGTTGACTTGGTCATTTGATCGCTGATTAATAGTTTGCATCGCTAAAAAATTCAGGGTAGTTCATGCTATGAAAAAGCTCAACTTGAGTACAGCGTGACTTTAAAATATAATTTTTCCAACATGAAGTTAAATCTAAAAGTTAGGTTTCGCAACTTGCGGTTGACCGCAGCCAACAAAATTAGGGCCAAGTGCCGCATCATAATCTAAAGCCTGCCAAGAATTATATGTAGAAGACGAACAGAGCATTGTTTTCTTTCTCCTTTTGTATTAACCATCAGCATAAAATTTGGGAACTAATGTGTCGAAAATTTAGAGCTTTTCCCTCGAATGTGACTGAAACGTTATCTGACGAAGCAATTCTCTTTTTCCATCCTTTTTGAATGATGAACTTTTTTAGCTAGATTATAGTTTGAAAGCAGCCTAAAACAAGGTTTTGCTCATTTATGTTGTATTTTTCAAGGGAAGCAATAAGAGACCTGCTGTATACATGAAAGCGTGCCCTTGAGATAATCAAAATATCTTCCTCTTGTCCACATGTCAGATTACCATACTCTCATTTTCTTTCTCGGGTGATGTTTTATTTTAGTTACCTACTTCATTATCTGGATCAGCCAACTTCGCAAATATCTAATGCCAAGCTTCTCTGTTCAGTCCCCATCACTGACTTTAATGATTTTAGCATAACTTTGCAAAAATCCTTCACTAGTGATTCTTAGCAAATCAACTGTGAAATTGTAGGAATGCGTATCTCTTTTGCGGTGTTTCAAAATCTCCGCTTTCGATTTAATTTATCTAAGGAAAACAAACTAACGCTGTAGCTTGAAACTTTAACAGAATATTCTTCGCATTGAAACAAAAAATAAGCGAAGTTTTCCAGAAATGACACTGAATATTTTTCTTTTTAATAAAGAAAGTAAGATAGGAAGTTTGCAATGTCGCAAACTGAAATCCTCGTTCCTCCAGTTTCACCATTGGAATGGAGGTGAGTCAATCAATTGCACCATTTTCAATATCTATCTTTCAATGCAATACAAAACTAAGCCTTTCTTGTTATCACAGTAGGGCACCTACCTTCCTAATCTCATGGTCTGATATAGGTATTTGAATCATCTATTACAATTATGCTTTGAAGAAAATTGCACTCCTAGAGTGAAAAATGTGGATGCTAAAATAATTTTCTTTCTCTGTCATTTTGCGGTAGGATTACATTCCTCTTGACGTACCTCAAGTTTTGTGCCATGCACTTTTTATACTGTGTAGTTTCTTTAAGAGAAACCAAGCGCTTTCTTTTGAATAACGTGAATCTTCCTTAGAAGATACCTTTCTGTGGATGAAATAAGTCAATATTGCTTAGTTTAGGTTTTTCTAAAATTGATAAGTTGTATAAATTGCAGAATTGTGTCTTTGGTTAATACTGACCTCGCTGAGAGTAATATTATTTGTCAAAGCAAAATATTTCCACATAGTGTCTTTAAAAAATTGCAGTGGATCACATCATCCACTGTATTTTAAAAAAAATGTCCGTGTTACCTAGTTTTCAACAAAAATTTTGCTTCAATCTACTATTATCACTCTAAGCTAATACCCAAGTAACCACCAACAAAACTCAATTTTGTGATTTGTGCAATTAACTCATGACTAACTAGAGTTGAGCAAAACACTTAGGTTTATCCCTACGTTGCGCTGTTTCATAATCTCATCTCCTATTATAATTTTTTGGAAGGTAACAAAACAATATTTTCGCTTAAAATTTGTGAAAATATCCCTCATGGCAAGGTAAGCTGCAAAAATTTTCAAGTGTGAAATGGCTGGTTTCCTTTCAAAAAATCAAAATAGAAGATAAGATTTTGAAACAGCGCAATTTAAATGTGACTGTTTTGATTTATCTCTATCCAGCTGTCAGTCTGAGATAATGTATTTCTGGTTTTTCTGCAGAGGATCCAAATACATTGTGGTGCCATTTTATGCGTAAATCAAACGTCTGAAATCATGTCTACATCCTTGTTATGCCTTTTAAAGTTCATTAAAACAAAGTTTAATCAAACTAATTAAGTACCACTGAAATTACTAACTCAAAAAATTGTCTCAAAGAATTTCAAGGAGCGAATAGACAATTTAAGCAAATATCCTGTTTCTCCTCTTTTTTTTGTTCTTTTGTCAACAATGATATTCTTACCTATTTGCCTCTGCAATTTAAGTATCGTCCTGTCTGAATATCTGCGCGTTTTTATTTCCTGCCAAAAGTTATTTTGTCCAAGAAAAAAAATCTCTCGTTTAACGATCAGACAACACCTTAGTCCGTGTTGGTTAAAGCTCGTAGCATATTCCTATTTTCAGATCTTTTCTCCCTTTCTTTAAAGTTTTGAGTCTGTTCAGTTTTCAATTTAGAACCTCATCACCAGAAGCAGCTGTTTTACTAGTTTATTAATTGTACAGTATTATTGTTTAATTATTTTTAATAAATAGATAATTGTTTAAATTTGTCGGGCTTTTTTCATCTGAGTTCCCGCTCTTCCCACCAAAGAAATGTGTTCGATTTGGACCGCGTTAAGCAGAATGAAACCAATCCGCATTAGCTATTGCCAAATTTACTTGGACAATTCAATTATTTACTTGAAAACGGTTGCGTAGATTTTTGTGTTAACTTCAGAGAATTTTCTGCACAGTACAAAGCAAATTCCCTAAAATTTTCTAGGGAATCCGCACAAATGTTTTCTCGTTAACATTTAAATTGCCCACTTAAATTTGGCAATAACTGATGTGGCTTGGTTTCTTTTTGCTTAAGGCGGTTCATTTCTAGTCTATGACGCTCCGCGAGTCCATTCATTCTCATAAACGGCAGAAGGAGGCATAGGAGCAGTGAATCCTCGAAATGGTCAAGAACTTTCGTTTCTTGGCTCAGGAAGCTTTGCGGAGTTTTGGGAACATGCGAAATCATTTATACGCCTCAAACTACATCGAGTCAATTGTCTCGCCGTACAAGAAGAGATAAAAAAAAGAGAAAACAAAAACCCAGTTGAAGGTTGAATGGTATTTGCCATTGTTTTCCAAGTATTTTATGGGTGAAAACCCCTCAGGTATATGTCGCAGCCCTGGTAAAAATTGGCAGTAGAATCTGTGTTCCAAAATACCATAGACCTACAGCCGGCTGTAAGATTTCCAATAGCGCCGTGGCACGCTGCGGCGCGGCAGGCGGGCAGCCTGCGCGAAACGCGCATTGGCGCCTACAAACCTAACAGGGATACTTCACGCGTTGCGCAATGCGTGAAGTATCCCTGTTAGGTTTTTAGGCGCCAGTGCGTCGTCGCTCCGCTTTGTGTGTTTTAATATTTAATCTGGCGGAGTCAGCGTTATTCAACTCATGATTTTGAAATTTTTGCACATTCTGTATGGATTATTCTCATTTTAATTTATGGAAAAAAATATGTATTAAACGAGAATATAATGTGTGTTTTGTAAATATTAAGGTGGTTCCGTATCAAACTTAATGATTTCCAAAGCACACGAATTTCTACACAATTTCTTATAGCCTTTTACAATCGATGGTGAAAAAGCAACAGCCAGGCGATAAAGTGTAAAGCCCGGCGATAGGAACTATAGCCCGGCCGCATAATTTTTTATCGCTTCGTATAGCCCGGTCATATGATTTTCTCCGCATTCTACAGCTAGCTATATGATTTTCTGTCGCCTTCTTTAGCCGGCTATAAGAATTCCCATGGTATTTTGAAACGCAGCTCTTATCGCCAATTTTTAACATGGAGGCAAATAGTCAAATCAGGCATTTTATCAAATGCCTAGGTAGATACTCAAATCAAAGTTTACGAGGTTTTTTATGTTTTCTCAAATATATCTCTTATTTTTAATATTTCGAGACGAAAAATTCGTCAAAGTACAAACTGTCATTTTATTTCCCGTTCAAAAATGCTCCTCACAATTTTTCAACCGCCCAAATTGTGAAAACTTTTTATTTTACGAAATACTGCATGTTTTTTGATAAATTTGCATTCATGGACTAGAGAAAACGTATGTAGGTATAATTGTATGGAACAAGTTTTTAAAGGGAATTCGTTTGCACATGATCTGAGAATTATTTTATCTACAGTAAATTACAGCAAAATAATCAGAATTTCAGTCTAAGTAAGAATATTTAACTATATGCCTAGGCATTTAACAAAATGCCTGCTTTGACTATTTGCCTTCGACATATTTACCATTAGTTAGGTCTAAAATAGTTGACTCAAGCGCATTGCCAAAATCGACTGGAACCTTCGGACGATTGGAGCCAACTTCTTCCACCTGCACAGTAAAGGTTACCCGCAGCCTCTCATTCAAATTTCAATTTATGTTTTCTCTTCCTTCGCTGTCAGTAATCATTGAGTCATTCTCTAGAGTATAGTAATCAGTCAGTAATCATTGAGTCATTCTCCAGAGTAGGTATATGCTTCGCAATGCTCCCCAGATTATGCGACTTCACTGACCATTCGCAGCAAAGCAGCAGCTGCCTCCTTGACAATGCGAGCATAACGCCTGGATGCAAGGATGCAACTATTCGAACTCGATGGATGTCCGTGTTGCATACTCACGAAATTGCGGGCGCGCCGACTGTCCTCGCGGTCTGTGATGTTGATGTGCGATGTACCGCATCGCGTCGTCGGTCGCCTGGACTAGTAGACAAGGCAATGTACGAATTTAAGCATTCTGATACATGTTTCTTGATCAAAAGTTCACGTAAAGCACGATTCGCACGACGAAAATTACTGAAATCGACTCCTTTTGTTTTTATTTTACATTTGAGCGGGAAGTTTAGATTCCCCACTCACCTAGGGAAAACAAAAGTTTACTTGAATTAAATTGCGCACCACAACGGTTTTGCCGAGTTTCTCCATCGAGAAACATTCCCTCCCTACTGTGTGTTGTTCAAAGTGTTAAAATCGTACAACAGCTGAGCAGAAGCACCAAAAATCGAGGTTGCCATATTTTCATACCGCAGCGACTGCTACATACGGTAAACGTTCAATGCGCGATTTGACTCGCATAGACTTTTGTTTTTTCATAGGTAGAAAGTTCAAATTTACGCGTCAAGAAACAATAAAATATATTAGTTAGGAGCTAATGGTAGTAACGTAACGTTTCGGTAATTTTTGTTGCACGAATCACCTTCTGCGTAAAATTCTGATTGAGGAACATGTATCAGAATGCTCAGATCTGTCACTCGTCTACTCTAGTCCTTTGAGCCATTCTCTCTAGAAACGACATGAAAGTTTTTCAGCCCTGCTCAGATTGTGCAACGGATAAGTATGTACTTCGTCTAAGTCAATCGCAGCTGATCAATTTGAAAGCCCCAACTGGAATGTTCCCCCTACAGCTACAGTCTCACATATTTTTATCCATTTTCCGATAAAAACGCAATTGATTTAATACAGATTATACAATCCGTTCCACAATCTGAGCAGCGCTACATAGCATATACAAGGGGCTTGTAGAACAAGACGCATGAGTGTAGTTTTTGAAAAAAATTGAGATATTAATAATTTTAAGTAAAACTAGAGTTGAAGCAATTGAAGCATATTCTGTGAAAGTTTGCTCCCTGATTCAAATTTTGAAGAATCAAAAAGTCAGTTTGAACTTTCTGTCCCCCGTGAGGATCCATGTAATGTCGAAACTTCAAACAAGTATTTCTCGAGATAGCAGAAACTTCACTTGACAAATGATTCGTTTTGGAACAACAACGCGGTGCAAGCAGCCGCTCGGACTGCGAGGACAGTTGGCGCGCCCGCAATTTTGTAAGTGTGCAACGCGGCCATCCACCGAGTACGAATAGTTGTATGCAGGCGCCTGCAAGGTTTGCCCTACTAGTCGTGCTACCGCACCGTGCGTGGCTACGCTTGCCGCATCGCGTCGGATCAGCAGAGAGGACAGGCATCTTGTTTTAAATGTCACGAGATTTTCCTCACACCACCAAAGACATAGGATATTTTAGAAACACCGCATTTAACTCGCCTAAGGCTTTCTATTATTTAAAATGTATTTTCAGGGATCAACGCCGTATTTCTCTGCCTGCCAGATTTTTCCGCTTCATAATGAAGAACATAAGGGTGGTTTCACTATAACTGGAATAGTTTTTTCGCCGAACAGACAGCACATTTTTCAGTCATATTTTTAGTAGTAATGATAATCATACTCGATTTTTTTTGCATTAATCTACACAGGGTTACGTGTTATAACGCTTTTCAAAGATGTATTGCTCTACTTTTCAATTTTTTCTATATAAATGGCCGAAAATGTGCTGTCTGTTACGCTGACTTTTTACCGCGTGATAGACAGCACATTTTCGGAATTTACATAACATTAATGCGAAGTAGAGCAATAAATCATAAGAAAGCGTTATAATACGTAACCTTTTGAAGATTAATGCGAAAAAATTCGAGTGATTTTCATTTCAACTAAAAACATGACCGGAAAATGGAGAAAAATTTCAAGTGCGACCTGAAGTGGTCACGAAAAGGTTTAAAAATTGAAAAATGGACTTTTTGAGAGATGGGAAAAGTGAACTAAAAATGTATCGGAATATGTTGACGATCATTTCTACTAAAAATATGGCCGAAAAATGTGTTGTCTGTTACGGCGACAAAACTATTCCAGTTATCGTGAAACCACCCATTAATACTCAAAAAAGATGCTTGGTTTTCTACTTTAAAAAATATTAAACACGAGAGGAAATCAGGCAATATCTAACAAAGTTAGGTTGAGTCTCAGTAAACCCGTCCGTAGTACACGTCTGCGAAAATTATGAACCGTTGCGATAGAATTACGATATCTCTATTTCCAACAGCTTATTTATGCCCGACTCCACACTATCAAACTACAGCCAAAGCAGCAGGGCCACTGCACGGTGGAGCGTTTATCAAATTGATATCTGAGTAAAATTTTGAAAAAAGAGGGAATAAGCAGTCGCCATGACGCCAGGACCGCGGCGGTGTAATCAGAGTTTTCCAATTAGGGGCGCGATGCTTCAATACTTCAAATGCACTTAAAATGCTCCGATTTATTGCACCTCCGATCCGATGCACCGCGGCACCGGCCCCACGACTGTGTGGAGCCAGAGATCGAGCTACGCGCGGTGCTGCCAAATTGCACACCTCTAAGAATTTTATGAAGGAAAAAAGGAGTAATACTATGAGCAGCTCGATAGTTTGCACTGAAAAAAACATTTCGGTGTATTTACTAAGACAAGGGTAAAATTACCAAGAATTCAGGGTTCTATTTGATCCCAGTTTTTTCTTGGTAAAATTACCATTTATGGAATTGGTAATTTTACCGAGAAATCTCGGTAAAATTATTGAACTTTCTCGATAATTTTACTGGACCTTAGTAAAAACGCCAATATTTTTTATCGACTGTGGTAGAATTACCGAGATAAAATGTAAAGTTACCGGGAATCGATTACCAATAAAAGTGGTATTCTTACCTGACAAAAAA